GCAACCGCAACCACAACGACAACAACGACGACGACAACAACGACGACGACAACGACGACGATATCCACAACAGCAGCAGCAGCAGCAACAACAACAACAACAACCACGACCACGACCACGACCACGGCCACGGCCACGACCACGACCACGGCCACCGTCACCACCACCACCACCGTCACCACCACCACGACCACCACGACCACCACCACCACAGCAACAACAACAACAACAACAACAACAACAACAACAGCAGCAGCAACAGCAGCAGCAGCATCAGCATCAGCATCAGCATCAGCAACAGCAACAGCAACAACAACAACAGCAGCAGCAGCAGCAGCAGCAGCAGCAGCAACACCAACAACAACAACAACAACAACGACGACGACGACGACGACGACGACGACGACGACGACGACGACAACAACAACAACAACAACAACAACAACAACAACAACAACAACAACAACAACAACAACAACAACAACAACAACATACCAACGAAAACGGCTTGGCGAGTAGTTGGTTAGTGCTTTTTTCAAGATTTTGTAATATGTAAATTCTTTTAACAGAAAAGCACTAACCAACTACACGCCGAGCCGTTTTCGCTGGTATTTCTCAGGGATCGGGGCGTGATTCCGTCCAACTATCCGACTAACAACAAGAAAAAATAGCAAGAACAACAAGAAACCACAAGAACAAAAGCTGCAAGACGCTGCTCCGCGCAAGCGTCTCTGCGGCGCGCAGAACCGCTTACGCGGGCACAGCAGCGACGCACGTGTTTGTGCAAGGACTTTGAAGCTTTCAGCCACGGCCTCCGCCTGGTGCCGCCGACTCCCAGTCGCGCTGCATGAGCCAAAAATGCGCGAACATGCGTCAATCGGTGTTTGGGTTGCGTCACTTGCGCAGACGACTGAGCCCTGAGACCGGCTCTGGGACCACACATGAAGAGTTTGGACTTGTGTTGGCCAGTTCAGTTGATATTGAAAGGGTGTCGAGGCCCTTTAAGTTGCCAGGTGCGCTTACCCTGCCCAAAAAGAGGACATGTGGGGCAAAATTTCTTGGAGCTACGAATCTGCCCCCAGCCCGCCCTTGTCCAGTCCCCACTCTTTGTTTGCCCGATGGTGCCGGTGCCTGTGGGTGACCCTTGGATGTCTGTTGGGTCTGTGCGCAACGAATGCCACCTTTGACAGAAGGAAGCTCGGTTACAGACACAACCTTGGCAGAATAAAAAGGCTTTTCATGTCCGCAACATGAAGGGCCCCCTACAGCGCAGTTTCCATTTGGACACCAAAAGGAAACACCATGTACAACCTAATTTGGGGGGCCAAGCCTACAGGAAGTCTTTGCCATTTGGATTTTCGGTTTCCAAGACGGCGATTGCAACCGCGTCCACACACCTCACCAGGGTTCAATGATCCATCTTTTTCCCGCTGGTTCCTCAAAACCCCAGTGGTTTGTTTGGGCATCCGCAGGTTCATTCCCCAAACCTTGCTTGTCTGCCCAAACCTCAAGTTTATTCCCTTGACCTGCTTGTTACTTCCGAACTGGGAACTAGCAAGGTTCGGCACAATGGTTGTCCTTTTGACCACAGAAAAGGGGTAACCCACCACCGCTTTCCACCCCCTTTGCAGGCGGCTGTCAGGAACGCTCGGGCGGCAGGCGGAAAACCGTAACGAGGGCCGGCTTAGCGATGGGCCAACTTGGCCTTCCAGTTGCTGTGTTTGTTCTTGTTGAGGACCCCCGGTGTTTTTCCCATGCCTTTCCAGACTTTTTGGCGGGGGCCAAACGGGTCCTGCCAGTCCAGGGCCAGCCTTGGAAAACCGAAAAACGCCCGAGCAGTGCCTCACTTTCTTCCTGGGTCCCGGCAACCTGAAGGTGGCAAGCCAGACCTCCAGCGAGTCTTACAACATTTGGGGTGCCTGAAGCCGTGCTTTCCCGAGGTTTTCATTGCGAAGTTTGGATAGATGCGAAAAGTAATTGTTCATTTGTTCTGCAGAACTGCACAACGTGTTGCTCCCCTATCAGCTGAAAGCTGTGGGGTTTTTGCGATAGGCTCTCGAGGGGTTTCGGATACCTCATTGGCCAAGGGGTCGAAGATTGGCCAAGGGACTCGACGAGGGTTCACATTCCGCTGGGGGGCTGAGTACGTACACACCTACCCAGGAAACCGAAGCTTACTGGACAATCTGGAGATTCCTTTGGCGCGAAAATGGAAGCCGTAGCTTACATGTTGCCAGCCCTGAGACCTTGTCAGCTTCAACTGTTCAACCAGGCCAAACTGGAGGTTTACAGTAATTATCTAGTGCTGCCATGAAAAGGGGGTGTCACCGATTCACCAACGGCTCCCCATGCTAAGGCTCCGATGAGAAAACCCACGCCCAAAGGAAAAGGACCATAGCCTTGCAAAAAGGGGCGGGGTACGCACTTTTTCGTGATTTCGGTGGGACCGCGGGTTCACAAAGCGAGCGACTGCATTCATGCAAGTTCTTTCCTCCAAAATTTGCAGGCGACTTGTGATTCGAGCAAATTGAGGTATTGCTCGTTGACCTTTTTGGTTGCCCCAGGCGGCAAAGCCCCACCGCAAAGTACCTGAAGTGCACAGCTGCGCGTGTCACATGGCGAAACGGATTCGGCGCCAGGTGTTGCCATACCACTTAGTGGTATGGTGGAGTTGGAGAAGGCGGGTCTTGGGAAGACTATGGGCGGTATGGGATGGTGTGGGTTTGTTTGAAAAAAGGGGAGCCTGCAAAATTGGGCGCTCTGCTTTCGTTTGGAAAAGCCCAAGTGGGACCCTCGTTTGACTTTCGACCATCCATGCTTGAATGACTGATTTAGTATGTCTGTGGTGTGGCTTTAGCGTTGATCTAACTAACCTGGCTTGATGAGGGTGCTCAAAAATACTTGGGCTGGTTTGCATGAAAACCAGTGCGTGGTTTGGGGGTTTGAATCCTGGTCCTTGTAGAGAACACATGAGTGGCGTGTTTGTCCCGCTCAAACAAGCAGGTCAGCAGGTATAACAATTTCATGACAACTATTTCATGAACTCCCCCTGCAACTTCTATCGACTTTTTGGGTACTATGGTCGTCCGGATTCACCCAAGTTCATTTGATCGTCGAAGTAAATCCTTCCATTTGCTTAAGAATATTTTTTGTTTCCTGTTGGTTTTAAAGGGAATCTAGCACTACTGGACACATGTTTATTTTTTCCAGGAGACTTAAGCAAATGGAGGAATCCCATTTGGGGCTAAACATCAGCACAGGTTCCTCCACACATCTACGAGACTTCGCGGCTTTTGCAGCGCTTGTAGGGCTGCAGTCGTAGACCACTAGGCCCGCAGCGCACAGTGGTTGCTTCCATCTGCTCAATAAAATCTCGTTAGCTCTTGGTTTTTAAGGGGCGATTTCACTACTGCACATATGTTTATTTTTCCAGGGGGCTTACGCAAAGGGAAGGTGTGTTTTTGTCTGGGGTGGTTTTTGCCAAGTGCACGTTTACCAGCCAACCCCTGGCACCAATTCCCTCGCGGAAGCTGCCTTCGACGATTTCCTGCGGAAGGATCGCGGAAGGGTGAGATACGTCAATTCAAGTTTAATCCTCTCCCCCCAATAATAAAACGCCTTCCCCCCCCCCCATCCCCCTCCCCCCCCCCTAACCTAATAAATACAATTATTTATTATTTGGGAGACCTTTACTTCACTGTTCTTGGCATGTTCTTTTTGTTTTTTAGTTTTTTGGCTCTGTTCATTTTCCTGGGGGTCTGCAAAAAGCTACCATACCAAGAGTAGAGATGTTTACTAATAGGGGGAACGGATTGCAGGGAAGGACCACTCGCCGCTCAACTGGGAAGCCGCTCCGGAACACCGCCTGGAACGCTCCCGGAGCAGGCTCCTCAGCCGAACACCGATCCCTCACCCAGAGTTCTTTTTTGTTTTGGGGGGGGGTCCCCTCACCCAGAGCTCATTTAATTTGTTTTTTTGGGTACTCTGGGTGTCCCTCACCCGGAGTCTATGTTTTTGGGGGAGGGGGGGGAGGAGGCTTCAGCCCGGCCGAGCCAAAGTTGGCACCTTCCCAGGAGCGGCCAGGGCAGCAGGAGATGGGTCGCTGGCAGCTCGGGATCCGACACCGACAGACGCCTGGGGGTTGATCAGGTCCGATGGGATGATTGGGGGGAACACCAAAATGACGATGCCCACTAAAACGGGGGGGGGGGGTTTAACCCATGGTCATTTGGGCCAGGGATATTGATCAACCCGCATCTGTTTTCGTCCTGTCTTTGCTTGAGTTGCTTGTTTCGTGGGGTTGGTTTCGTGTGTTGCCGAGGTGAAGGGCGACAAAAACTACGCAAGCAGGCCAGGCCGCCTTCCAAGTCCGAAGGAGTATCCTGTGGAAGCCGCGCATGCTGGCTTGTTTCCCGGGTTGGCTCGTTGTTTTTGCTTTTGTGCCTCGTGTTTGACCGTGTTTTGCTTTGGTTGCTAGTTGCCTGGTTTGTTTGTTCTCTGCTTGCTGCTTGCTCGTTTTGGTTCCCTTTGTATGGCCCACAGCGAGATTCTCCCCTCGAGTAACAGACGTGAGGTTGACGTGAGGTCCCTCCGTTAACTTGTTTGTGCCCGAGGACAATGCAAGAGGCTAATAAATTAGTTGCAAGCGTTTTCATGTGTATGTCTTTGTTGAGGCCTGTTTTTTTCCTTTGGGTTTAAAGGGAGACCAACAGGAAAACCATCATTTTGGGGTAAATGAGAAACCACCCCTCAAGCGCCTCAACCACCTTAACCACCAAGTCACTATGTCAAATCGCCAACAGTGAGAAGCTGATGATTTACTTGGTTTGGCAAAAAGCTCATAGCAAGCCCATTCAAATCAAGGCTCAATACTGGGTTCAGAGAGGAAGCGTGGGGTGGCAGAGGTTGTCGGGGATACTGCTTATGCTTTTGCATTTGCCCACTTTTGCCCGAGTGGCCTGGAAAGCAAAATGGGCCCCTGAGCTCAACATCAATGAAGAAACACCAGGTAGAAGGAAGCTAACCAAAAAAACGCATTGAGCGCGCGCGCAGGGTAGATTTGAAGGGAAGCCACGTCACTGAGCCACTTAGCCACTTCTTTAGGACGGAGCCAAAAACGAGCGGACCTCGAAGGTCCGCTTGGACCTCCCCCTCTCTTCCACAAAATGCCGCGCGCAGGCCGTGGACGGTTTGTGCTCGCCATGCGAAGACCCGGACCTCTGCCTCAGCTACGCACTGTGCCCCCTCTGTCGCCAGGCAGTTGGAATCCGATGGCGGGTGCTACTTGTCTTCCATTTGCCTAAGGACATGTGTCATTTTCCCTTGTTGGATTTTATGGACATGTATCACTAATGTTGGAACTTGATTAATAAAGGGCCCCCCGCCCTCAACAATGGAGGCACTAGAATTCTGTAGGCTCACTGTTGGGACGTCCAAACAATGGAGATAATGGAGGATTTTGGGGCCCAATTCTACTTTCGTATTGCAGCCACTTCCTTTTTGGAATTCTACTTTAGTATTGCAACCACTTCTTCCTGAGCATGCTTTTTGGAATGCTAATTACGTTAGTAGCCATTCAAAGGGTGTGCCTTTCAGCCAGAGAGGGCTTGAGCTAGAAAGAAATCAATTGAAAGGGGAATGCTTTTAAGCAAGTGGGCCACCAACCGAAAGGGGAATGCTTAGTGGGCCACCAATTAAGAGGGGAATGCTGTTGACAGTTTACTTTCTGGAGGGGGCTGGGGGCTTGCAACTAATTTGGTCCCCCTAAAGAATGCCATGGTTGTGGTTCAGTGGGGTCTGTGAGGGGTACCCTTGTCCTGTTTTTTTGTTTTGTTTTCTTTTTGGTTTAACACGGTTTAATAAAGAATTTGCAGTTTCAGGGCTGGGGGTGGTTTTCAAATTTCAGAGGTTGCAGCTGGCTTTGGGTTTTGTGTTGGGCAACCAATGAGAAGGGGAATGCTTTTAAGCAAGTGTGTGGATATTTTTTGGATTCCCCCCCCCCCCCCCCCCCCGGGCAAAAAACACTTTCAGTTATTCTGGGTCCCATCAACAATGGGGGTGAACCACAATAAGAAAAACATTGCATTATTGACTATCCCATTACTAATCGGGCGCGAACATTACTGTAGATAGTTGCTTTTTCCAGGCGGCTGAAGGCCGCGCATGCGTTGCCATACCCAAGAGAAGATCCCTTCCGGGCACATGGTCTTCGATCAGGGCCTGTAGTCACTTTAGTCCCACTTCTTAGGGAACGCCCTTTGTTCTCGACCTGCAACCTGCTTTACGGTTGCCAAGGGTAGAGCATTGTGGTTGGGCTTTTTGGTCTTGTGTTCGTTTTGAAGGGGCCAACCTTCCACACTTGTGAAAGGGTCAACTAGGAGCAACCTAGTGCTTGATTTATTGGGTTTTCGCTCATTGCCACCGAACCCTCCCTGAGCCAACCCTCCATGAAGCAAAATTGCCCACTTTTGTTTACCTGTTCAGCTTCAGTTTCCAACTTTAAACTGTTGCCTGTGGCTTCTTGGTAATCATTCGACCATTGGATTAGAGCAAGAGGCCCCGCAAGAACCAACAAATCGAAATCCTGTCATTTCCATTCGTCCAGCCTAAAGCATCAAGGATTCACTATTTCGAGACTGCTGTGTGTGCATTGTTGTTTACCGACTTGTTTGGGCGGGGGGGGGGGGTGGTCAGAATCAGTGACCAAAACGGTCCAACATGGGGCATTCTTGAGAACCCGAAGCACTCGGGGATTCAGGCCTCCGAGTTGAGCCAACCAGAAACTGGGTTGCCTGTGTCGCAAGCATGGCTTAAACTCAGCACGAGGTACTACTTGGATGTTCAACCAACTCAGTAGGTAGGTTATAACTATGGCTATAAGGGGACTAGCACAAGTTACACGAGGAATAAGTTATAACACTGGTTGTAACCTACTAAGTGGTTGAACATCCAAGTTACCCCTGATTGGTCACTAGGGCGTACTCTTGGGGCAACGACCCCGTTTTTAATCATCCACGACGAACCCGAACATTGTCAACTCGACAAAGCCCTCCCGTCCACCAGGGGTGACTGGGGGTCCCGTGAGGAAAGTTGCCCAAACCAGGGGGTGTCTTTCGCAGCTGGGAAGCGACTCATAGGGGGTTTCGCTTAAGGACAAACAGCTCCGTTTAGCTCTACTGTTATTGGGTTGGATCTTTAGGCTTTAACGTTTTGAATTCCCCTCATATGTCCTCACAAGCAGCAAGCAGTTTCACTTTTTGCTGGGGGATCTACGGCACCCAAGTTAGAATGGTGAGTTCGCTTCAGGACAAAACCGCCCGGAAGCCCTGGGAACGTTGCTAACATAGCAAGGCTTGGAAAGGTCATGTTAACAGGGTCCCTTACAGGGCACATATTTGGTCCAGGTACTGCAGCACCCGAGTTTCTTTTGATTTGGAGGATCCAGGTGGTATTAGCCTGGGCTCCAGGTGGGTGTGTCTGTTTTTGAGAACGCCAAAAGGAGGGGTTTTCCTTTTGGGTTCCCTTTAGACCAGCAAAAAGGGGTCTCTAAAAGCCAGGGGGCACCCACTTTTGGGGGTTGGAAAGCGGAGGCTGACACCTGGCACACCTTGGGAGTGCCGGAGTGGCAAGGCTATTGGAAGGCTCGGACGCTCGGATGTGAAATTTTGCGGAGGGATGTTCAGCCTGGTTCCCGGTAGAAGGATCCCAAACGCCTGCTTTAGAAGGAGGGCTGAATCCTCCACATCAGCTGATAAGGGATTTGACTGGCCCAAATGTATCCTTGAAGGGACCCTGCGGATTAATTGGGTGGTGCCCACTTAGAGGGGATCCGTCACTTTCAGGGGAAACACGCCGAATGTTTTAGACCAGATTGACGAGAGTGTCTCTTTGCGTGGCAATTGTTTTGCGTTCTCTGTCCTTTCGGAGATACTAAGCAGTACGGGTCTGTCTAAGAATAGGGGATCCTCGAAATGGTTGGCTTCCGTTTTGGCTCGCCTTTGAAGGCCAACCCGCAAAGGGTACCCCCTTTCTGGCACAAATTCAGATGTCCAATAGGCCAATAGGCCAGAAGTCCGGACTTTTCTGGCTTGATCCGTTGCGAATCCATATAGTTTTGTTTTGGTGCAGGGAGCAACCCCAAAGCTCAGCCCCCACTTCCCAATTTTGTGTTTGGGGGGTTTTCCGATTTTTGTTTGAGGATCACTGAACTGGAGATTCCCATGTTTTTTGGGTTGTCTGTTTTTGGGTTCCATGTCTCCAAGAAGTTCCGTGGTTTTCCCCTCTGATGTTTGCTTCGTGGGTAACCCATATTTGAATCTGCGGGTGCTTTTCCTCTCTGTTGCTTGCGCCAGGTCCTAGCGGCCTACGTGCTTTGCCCCTGGTTTTGGCCCTGCCTCAACTTCTACGCCCGCTACCGTCGTGCCGGCATGACACCCGAGCCGAGAAGCGATCGGCAGTGGTAGATGGGGGGGTCAGAACGGCTCCAGTAAACAAAGCTGTCGGAAAGATGACTTGCTGGCTTTGCTTCGCCTCGCCTCGTTTGTCGCTTGCACAAGGCGCCCTTTCCGCCCCCGGGCCGCCTAACAATGCCAAAGCGTGAGTCGGCGGGAAGGATATTTCAGCGCCCAAAACTGCTAATGGCCGTTTTGGTGGATGTAAGTGTGTCCCACGCCCCGGCTTGATACTCTCTACTTTAGCCCACATCAACCTTGATGGGCAGACTAGCTAGTTTCGTTGGGCTAGGGCAAGCCAGGGAAAGCTAGGGCTCACATCATGGTAGAACCAAAAGTCCATGCAGTTTCGAGCGCTGGCCAGGGATTCGGCAAGCCTTCCGGATCCACCTCGAGCCCCACAGGGACGCGTGGACCAAGAAATGTGCTTTCCCTTGTTTCTCTCGAAACCCCAACCTGTCCTTCAAAACGCTTGGCAGCATTCCCAACTTTGTTTGGACTGTGGTGGGGCTGCTTGGCACTTGTTCCAAGGGTTTTTCCTCCAAGACGCGATTCCCCCCTTGTTTTGGGGGACGGGGTTTTCTGAAAGGTTGCTGACCATAGGTGTCCTTTTTGATTGGTTTGCTTAAAAAATAGACGGCCCTGGTTTAGCTGGGTTTCTTCCATTTCTCCGGGAACCCCCATCTATTTGAACAACAGGCCAGCTATCCCATGCCTGGGACGCGAGTTCCCCCGTTGTTTTGGGGGGGCGGGGGGTTGCCTGAAAGGTTGCTGACACCTTTTTTTTTATGTTTTTAAACCTAAGACGCGTAAGGACTGCATCATCCATTGCCTGTGCTGCTGCTGCTGCACTCCCTGCCTTGGCCTCGACGTGCATGTTGCCGTCTCGGGGCCTGTGGGTGGGGCTTGGAGGTTTTGGGCCCCTGCAAACCTATAGGAAACATGTGTGGACAGCATGGAGCATTGGTTTCAGGGGATCTTTGGAGATCTTGGAGCATCCGTACCTCCAAAAGCTACCTGGAAATGTTGAGGGGGATGGGGGTGTTTGCTTTTGGTCTGCTTTATATAGATTGTTGAGTAGATCCTTGAGCATTCGAAGGGTTACTGGGCTGGCGCATTAATCAGATTTGCCAGCCGTGCTCCCACCAAAACCTCTCTATATCCGCTATTTGGCCCGGCCCCTCAGCACATGGTCCGGAAGGCAACATGTCAAGTGCATTAAAAACGTGGCACGTGCCATATTTGTTGCCTTTTCAACTCGTTGGAACGCTGCCTTGGGGGGGGGGGGTGAACATGGCATTTGTGCAACGACTTGTGAGGTTGGGCAGAGACCTCGCTTTCAGCTTGCCCGAAGGTTAACTTCCATTTGTTTAGGAATATTTTCTATTTTCCCCTATTGGATTTAGAAGGAATCCATCACTACTGGAAATATGTGTTTTCCTTCTTTTTTTCCAGGGGCTTGAGCAAATGGAAGTTAAATGCTCCATTTGTGGCTTGATGAACGGCACAGTGACTCTGTCTTGCTTGTTGGGCGCCAAGTCCCCCAAAGCAACCCACGAGCATTCCGCTCTCTATTGGTCCGTGGCTCTTGCCGGGTCGCTCTTGCCTCGGTCCAGGCGCTCATTTGCAAGAGGCGCGCTTGGTGGACGCTCCGATGCTGTACTTCCACTGCATCTTGGCCACCCAGGGCGCACCAAGGGCGCCTGCCCCGTTTTGTTTGGGGGGCTTGTGCTCTACTGTTGACCTCGCATCTATTTAGAACCCGCCCAATTACTAGGGGGGTGGCTTGATTCCCCACCAAACTCCGGACCCCCCCCCCCCCTGAAACTGGGGTTGATTAGTCCGGCCAAGAAGGTTCAACACGGGTTAGCCTTTTTCCCGCGGGATCTCTGGGGCAACTTGGGATCCCCTTGGTAAGGCCTTAAGTTCTTGTTTCTGCGTGCTATCCCCGGAACTTGGGTTGCCGTCTGAGTGAACTTGCTTGAAACGATCCCCTTGGTGGATCGATTGATGTTGGGTTGCATCAACTTATCTTTATCCTGCTGGTGAACCAACGGATGTTGCTGGAGTCTGTGTTCGGACTGAGGCAAGCACAAGTTGGCCAACTTCCACTTGAAGCAAGCGCAGGAGACTTGAGCGGCTGTGCGGCTGTAGTCCTCCAGAAGGGCAGAGCCTGGGCTCAGCGTGGCTAAGCCATGCAGCCCGGCTTCTGCCAAGGGTCGCAAGATCCCATGCACATGGTTGCGGGCAAAGCTGGGGCTTTAAGGCCAGCTTAAGGCTGATACAAAGAACAAGTCTGGAACGGATTGTTTCTTCAATCGCGGTGTCTCTTTCCCCTCAGCAGGATCTAGGGCCTGATGGCTGGCGACATGGCAGGAGGGTGAGAGAACAGTCACACGGAAAGCGCGGGAGCTTGCCTTTCATTTGGTTCAGAATATGTTGATTTTCCCCTGTTGGTTTTAAAGGGAATCTATCACTACTGGCATTTTTTCCAGGAGACTCAAACAAATGGAGGCTGCGGCTTTCCCCCCAACCATGGGTCCACATCGTGCAGTCCAAAGAGCCGACGGCATCGCGCAAAACAAGGAGAGCGGGTGAAAAGGTCGGGGAGTGACCGACAGACCGAGCCCACAAGAAACCCAAATTCCAATTTGTGTGTAGGTTTCGTCTAGGGCCTTTTGCTAGGACTACGTGTTGGGGCTCTGGCCAAACTCCAGGGCGTCCCAAGAAACCAAGAAACCCCAATCGGATAGTGACTAGTACCAGTAAATCAAAGTTTGACCTTTCCATGTGGCTCTGAGTCGGTGGAGGGGTGAGGAAGGGGTTGGACGGTTTTGCCGCATTTTGGCGGCTTCCTTGCGCGCTCTTCTTCGCCTTCCATTTGTTTAAGAACATGTTTGAGGTTTTCCCCTGGTGGTTTTAAAAGGAATCGATCACAACAATATATGCTCACTTCCTGAGTTCATGAACTTTACACTTTTTGGGAAGACCATTTTAGTGGTAAATACACAGTTTGGACTTTTTTTAGGCCATCCACTCAGCCAGTGAGTATGTTTATTTTTCCGGGGGGCTTAAGCAAATGGAAGTCGCAGCTTATGGTGTTTGGCCATGGGAGTGAGAGAGGGACTAAGGACTGCCCTTGTTTGTGGACCATGGGGTGTGGCTGAATTAACTGCTCATAGGTGTCCTTTTTGGTTGGTTTGCTTAAAACAGTAGAGGGCCCTGGCTTAGACGGGGGTTATTCCATTTACCAGGGCCATAATTATATTTTTGCAAAAGGGCACCTATGGAAAGGCGTCGAACCCAGCAAAACCAAAAGTGAAACAACCTCCGGGAGGATTCGATCTCCCATGCTGAGAATTAATTTGAACAGAGGGCTGAAGAGCGCAAATGAGCAGCCCCCTCCAAAACAAACAAACAAAACAAAGAAGATATTTGTTCCTTGAGTTTCCGTGCAAAAACGCAACCAACAGATGCCCCCAACAGAAAGCTTCCATATCTCAACACTTTCCTCAGGAAAGGAAGTCACATCAAGGAACTACGTGCCTTAGTAACTTAGGCTTTTCCCAAATTAGCACACGGACCGTGCGGAAGATGATTTATGACAGTGGTGGCTTCGCGCCCTGGAAACCCCGATAGTTTAGGCAACAAGGGGCAATGTGTTCTGGCGCATTCCGAGCTCAACAGAGCGATTCCAATTTGCCGAGACGTGTTGGCCCAGAGCAAGGTTGGTCCAAGTAGTGTTGTTATGTGGCGTTGCCGGTTGTCTTTTTAGTGAGTTCCCTCTAAGCTGCCTGTTTGTTTTGGTTGTTTTTGTGGGGAGGGTTGTTTTGAAGCCCCATCGAGCAAGAGTCAAACACAGCTGAACATGTCAAACAGCAGCTAGTTTGCAAGAATCGCCAAGCTTCGTTTGATCCGTCGCAGCCATTTAGCTAGTTGTCCCGCGTTTGCGCCCGAAAGGCAGTTACTGGCCGGTGCAGGTCGGACGGGTTGTGGCGGGATTGGAGTGCAGAGGTGTTTTTTGACACAACCGGCTCTAGGCAATAACCTTTTAGACCTGCAACAACCAAGCGCTGGCCCACTCACTTCCTGAGTACATGGACTTCAATAACTTCCTTGGAGGACTATTTGTGTGCCATACAAACAGTTTGGGTACTTTTTTTGGGACTCGATGGGAAGTGACACAAACGATGCACACGCCAGCGTCCAGGCCCCGGGCTCGCATGCACGCCGCCTTTGTGGCCCCGGTGCAAGCACCGCAGGCGGGGTGGTTTTTGTGACCGGTGGGGAACGACCGAGTCCGGGTGTTGGGAATGAACCGTGAACCGTTTTGGGGATTCCCCGTTATGAAGCCATATGGGTATGGCTTAAGATGAAAGAGCTAGGGTTACGCAGGTGTTAGTCTTTGCTTTTGTTTGTCAAGGGGGCCACTTTGGGCAGTAAGTTTTGAGCCACAGCCATATATGAGGGTTTATAGGCATTTATAGGCTTCCATTTGTTTAAGAATATGTTTTATTTCCCCTGGTGGTTTTCAAAGGAATCAATCACTACTTTTTTTTAAAGGGGGCTTAAGCAAATGGAAGTAGGGATCAGTCCAAGTCATTCCCTGCTGAGAACCACCGCTGCTTCCGCTGCTTGCGAGGTCGGCGCGTCCATTGCGCGCAGCCCGAGGCCGGATGCGGCTCGGAGGCCTGAGGCTTTTTTGTTGCGCCTATGGCTTCCAGTAGCCAACATAGGTGTCCTTTTTGGTTGTTTTGGCCGAAAAATAGACGGCCCTGGTTTACCTGGTGGTTTAATCATCTACCAGGGCCATCTATTTACCCCAAAAGGACACCTATGAGGACACCTGTGCTAGCAAAATTGCCCTGCAAATTCACATGGAACTCAACAACGAAGATATTTTTCCAGAAGAAGATTCCGTGGCTTTCATGCCTTGGGCTCAGGGCTGTCATGTGTCATGGGGTATGAAAGGCTTTCATCGGCTGAAACGCGTTTTTATATATATATATAGATATATATATATATATATATCCCGCCCCCTTTGGTTGTAAAGGGAATTTGTCACTCCCAGAAATATGTTCAATTTTTCAGTGGGACTTCAGCAGATGGAAGCAGTTCAACGGCCCCCGTGTCTAGGCAAAACCTCCCCGATGCAACTCGCGGGGGTTAAGCCGCTGGGTGCCATGGTAACCCCGCCAAATCGAAAGCCACCAGGAAACCCAACAATTTGGGGTCGGTTTTGTCCCAGACCTGCAGTGATGCCATTTGTTCCTTTTGTTTGAGAGCTTTTCGGGTTTTGGGTCTCCCTTCAACATCGCTGACCAACAAAACGCGTGCCTTTTATTTTTCCGTGGCCGCTTTGTTGGCATGGCTTTTCATGCTTTCAGTGTCTCCTCGCCGCCGAGTCTGGAAATTTTCGCTCAAATTTTCGCCGGAGTTCTCTTGCCCGGGCCATGGCGGTCGCGTTCTTGCTGCCCTCAGCCGCGGTCACGCCGGTCACGCGCGTGCCGGTCACGCCAGTGACGCCGTTTTCGGCCCCCGGTGCTGCAAAGATATTTTTTGCGGGCGGAAGCCATGAAGGTACCTTTACTGGATTTGTTTGTTTAGTGTAGGATCTAGTGCAGAAAGATGCTCGCAGAAAGATGAGGTGAGTTGGAGTGTTGGAAAGGCAGTCGGCTTCGGTATATATATGTGTATACAACTGCATACTTCATATTTATAGTATGTTTGCCGTGGTGTTTTTTTTTGGGTGGCCCTGCGGCTGATCAAAGCATAGTCAAGCGCAAAACCACATCGCAAACATGGCTTCCTTTGGCTCCTTCTCCGCCATGCGCTCTGACCAAATTGAATGGCGAGCCCCCCAAACAAATTGGTTTCCCGTCGATGGCGAAATGTTTTTCTTTTTTGGGGTTTCCCTTTTGGTGAAGTTCCCCGAGCCCTCCGATGCAGAATCCGACCCCTTCAATGAGCACCCCGACCCTTCAAAAAAGCGGTGAGGACCATGGGGTATTCCGATTTGCCTCATGGCATCCCGGCCCCGTCCTTCTCTAAACACCCCTTTGCCCTGCAAAAAGGGCTTCATTGGAGAAAACTGGGAGAAGGAATTCGGGGAAGGGTGTGAGTTGCATCCTGCTGCTTTTTCCCGAGGCCACGGACCCGCAAATCGTGTCCAAAGCTTCCTCACTTCCTGAGTTCCTGGACGTTATACCTTTTTGGGAAGAACGTTTAAGGCGCAAACAAAAAGATCCGACCTTTTTGAGTCCATCTACGCGATCGCAAGTTGCTCAGGCTGTGGATCACGCCAGGGCTGACTGGGCGCCAAAGGCATCCCTGGCCTTTGCCTCCCTCGCCGGTTTCGGCGCCGCGCGCGCCCAAGCGGCGCGTGCCCAAGCGGCGCGGCGCGCCGCGTCCCGGCGCCGGGAGGCGTGCCTGGGCGGCGTGCTGGCAGCAGCGCCACAGGCCGAGCTGGAGCGGTTCCCCTTCACTTGGGCGTGTCCTTTTTTTCTGTTTTGTTTTTTTTGGGTGGGTTTCCCCTAAACTGGTGGTGTTCTGTTTGGTGTCCCTTTCAAGCCACCAAAAAAGGGGGGCAGCCTCCAAAAAACGACGCGCCCATGTCCCTTTCACAAGCAAGTGGCCTAAGGGCCTCCAAACCCCAGCAGCCGAAGGGTGAAACGACCAGGTGGCATCGGCCAAGACCAAGCAGGAAGCCGTAGAGAAGCTGGACACTTACGCACTGACACCCGGCGAATCCGTTTTGGGTTGTTTTGGCGTTTTCTTCGTAGGAAGGGTTTTTTCCTACCTTCTTCCACCCATCAACATGCCGATTGGTGAACCCCAATTGGTGATTTGGATTCGTAGTTTGGGGTTTGAACCCCTTCAGTCTTGTAACTAACCACCCCAAACCTCCACCGCAAACCAGTGCATGCTGGAACACGGAACCTAGCTGGTGGCCGGGGGGCAATTTCCTCTCGAAGGGTTCTTTTGGCGGGTTCTTTTAGTGGCTGGAAGCCCTCGGTAGTTTAGTTTGGTCCCTTTGTACGTTGGGGTGTGCCTCTTCAAATGGTTTCAACAAGAGCCAGGCATTCAAACCTCCAAGCCAATCCAGACCATCAACTTGGCCCTGTTTCGTGTCTTTCTTTTGAACATGACCCGGCTACTTTTGGCTAAGAATCACTTCTGCACATGTGGAACGATGCCGCCCTCATAATCTGACAAACCAGCCGGGTGGAAAAGGCACCGGCCCCCCAAGCTCTCAACTACAACCATCAACAGCCACAAGACCGCACCTGAACGGCTATTTCGTTGGATCTTTGGACTTTAACTTTTCGGTTGAAGCAGGTAGGATTTTTCCATTGGACTCACAGTTTGCAGAGGGGTCTTTGCGGACTTTGTCCATTGTGCCCACAAGGTAGGCTTTTTGCGGAGGGGTCTCGCCTGGACCCAAATTGACACCGAACCATTTGCTGACAGGAATATTTTTACATTTTCCCCTGTTGGTTTTAAAGGGGATCTATCACTATTTTCAATTTGTCCAATTTCTCCAGTTTCCCTATTTTTCCCCAACAGCTGCAAGCTTTGGGGTCTCAGCCCAGATAAGCTCCCGGGTGGTTCAGGGTGGCCCTGAGGTAAGGTTCCACGAGGGTTCCACCACGGTTCCGCGAGGTTCTGCGAGGGCTGTGGGGTGGTGCGAGCACTAAAAAGAGCACCGCATGCTGTTGGGGATGTCATCTGAGCTTATTTCCATTTTTTCCATTTCCATTTTGCCCCTTTTCTCCAGGGGGCTGAAGCAGATGAAACGGAGGCACCCCCCCGCTCCGCGGGCGAGCCGAGGTCCTCGATCGCGCCCACAGAGGAGGCGCCCAGCGGCTGGCAGTGGGTCGTGGAGGGCCTGGGCCTCACGGCGGAGCCCTGGCAGACGGAAGGGGAACGAGCAGATCGGGGGATCACTCGCGCGGTGTATCCAACCCAGTTCTGTGGAATAGGTGTCCTTTTTGGCTGGTTTGGGAACATGGTCTTCCATTTGTTTAAGAATATTTGTGGAGCGAAGAGGGAACATCGCCCAGTTGCCCTTAGTGGCGCCCCTTTCTTTTTCTTTTTCGGGAAGGGTTTTTCCTTCAACCTCAACCAAAAAAGGATGCCCTTTTTCTTCCATGGCCACTGGGCATCTGAGATGGTCTTCGATTTGTTTATGTTTTTTGGTTTTCCCCTGTTGGTTTTAGAAGGAATCGATCACTATTGGAAATATGTTCATTGTTTTCCAGGGGGCTTTTGCAAATGGAAGTTGTGGGATCGCTCGGGGTGTATCGAACCACTTCTGTGGAATCATAGGTGTCCTTTTTGGTTGGTTTGCTTTAAAAGTAGAGGGCCCTGGTTTAGATGGGGTTTGTTCCATTTGCCAGGGTCACATATTTGTCCAAAAGAAAGGCCACCTATGTCTGTGATGCCTGTGGGAATCTTGTTCTTTATGTGGGGGGGTTAGTCTTTGGGGTTAGGCCCTTTTGTTGTATCACAGAAGTGGTGATTTCCTCCAGCCCTGAAAGGGAATCACCGGGAAATCTTCCATTTGCCTTCATGTCAAGCGATGTCATTATGTGGGCGTGTCTTGATTTTGAGTGTACCCTTCTTGTTGGTTGATGTTCCAATTCCCTGATTCGATATGCAGGGAATGAGTTCAATGACCCCACAGAAACCATCCCCTGTGGCTTCCTTTAAATGGAATGCCCCCTAAAAACCATCTATGGCTTCCTTTAAGGGAATCCCTGTGGTTCATTCCCAAACCGGGAAGGTCATGCCCTGCGGAGCACCAGCAATTGAAGAATGTTCGTTTATTTCCCCCGTTGGTTTTTAAAAGTAGATGTGTCACCATAGGACACATGTGCATTTTTTGTCCAGACATGGCAGAGAATCAGGAGGATATTTCGTCCATCAGGTGCGTGTATGTGTGTGTCAACAGAGGGGGCCCTTTTTGTTCATTGTCTTTACTAATTCTTTTGAACTACTGGAAAGCAAGGAGGATGATGCCCATCCGCAGGTGCTTTTTCTTGCTGGTTCTCAGGGAGTTGTCTTGGTTTTGGGATTGAATCTAGTGATTTGCAACTTTTTTAAATGGAGACGTAGCATTGTCCTCTTGTTGGCAGGAGGGGGGGG